CAGATTCGGTCTGCTACCACGATTCCCACGAGGACAGCGCAGACTTCGACGACCAGAATTATTATTACTACCACTACTACGACCATTACCACTGCTGCTACTACTCCTCCTACTACTACTGCTACTACTGCGACGACTACTACTACTACTACTACTACTACTACTATTACTATTATTACTACTACTACTATTACTACCACTAGCGCTACTACGGCTACTACTATTCATACTACTACTACTATTACTACTACTACTACTACTACTATCATTACGACTACTTTTTACTACTTCTACTACTACTGCGACGACTACTACTACTACTACTACTACTACTACTATTACGACTATTACTACTACTACTACTACTGCTACTACTACTACTACTAGTATCACTACACTTCGGCGGCCACTACTACTACTACTACTACTACTATTACTACTACTACTAATATTACTGCTACTTTTATATGCTACGATAACTACTACTATCACTACTACTAATGGTGTCACTAGTAGTAGTAGTAGTAGTATTATTATTATTAGTAGTAGTAGTAGTCGTAGTAGTAGTAGTAGTAGTATTGGTAGTCGTTGTAGTAGTGGTAGTAGTAGTAGTAGTAGTAGTAGTAGTTGTAATAGTAGTAGTAGTAATAGCATTTCTAGTATTAGTATTAGTAGTAGTAGTAGTCGTAGTAGTAGTAGTAGTAGTAGTAGTCGTAGTAGTAGTAGTAGTAGTAGTCGTAGTAGTAGTAGTAGTAGTCGTAGTAGTCGTAGTAGTAGTAGTAGTAGTAGTAGTAGGAGTAGTAGTAGGTAGTAGTAGTAGTAGTAGTAGTAGTAGTAGTAGTAGTAGTATAGTAGTAGTAGTAGTAGTAGTAGTAGTAGTAGTAGTAGTAGTATAGTAGTAGTAGTAGTAGTAGTAGTAGTAGTAGTAGAAGTAGTAGTAGTAGTAGTAGTAATAGTATAGTAGTAGTAGTAGTAGTAGTAGTAGTAGTAGTAGTCGTAGTAGTAGTAGTAATAGTAGTCGTAGTAGTAGCAGTAGCAGTAGTAGTAGTAGTCGTAGTAGTAGTAGTAGTAGTAGTAGTAGTAGTAGTGGGAGTGGTAGTGGTTGTTGTTTCAGTTGTAGTAGTAGTACTACTACTACTACAACCTATACTACCACAAGTACTAGTATTAGTAGTACTACTACTAGTACTACTACTATTACTACGACTACTACTGCTACTACTACTACGACTACTACGACTACTACTACTACTACTACTGCTAGTGTTCTTTTTATTGATCTAATAATTATTAGTATCACTACTCTTACTACTGCTGCAACCACTATTAGTAGCGCTTCTGCTACTACTTATGTTGCTGCTACTACTACTACGACTACTGCAACTGTACTGCTACTGGTGGTGCTTGCGCACTGCCGCTGGACCCCAGGCTCTGCGGTGCTCGCGCGCGCTGTGTTCACAGGCGTTGTGGTGTTCACAAGCGCTGTGGCGTTTTCTGGCTGTGTAGTGTGCACAGGCGATGTGGTATTCACAGGTGCTGTGGTGTTCGCAGGCGCTGTGTTCACGGGCGCTTTGATGTTCACAGGCGCTGTGGTGTTTACGGACGCTGTGCTCTTCAAAAGCATTGTGGTTTACACAGGCACGTCGCATTGATCGGATCGCAAGCTTTTGTGGCGCTGGTCACAGACACGTTGTGATTGTCGGGTCGCAGGCGATTGTTCTTCGCAGGCGCACTGCGGTGCTTACGGGCATGTTGCGGCACCCCAGGCGCACCCCCGCCGTGGCGTGACCGGCGCGACGTAACCCCCCCCCCCCCGGTTACGCACGTGACCGGCCCGAGTAAGCAAACGGACTCTATCCGCTCTCAGGGCGAAGCGTGTCGCCGGGGCCGTCGAAGCAGAAGGTCCTGGCCGTGCACCCTGGCGGCAGAAGGCCCCTTGCCCCACAAGGGAGGAGCAGCGGGTGCGTTGCACTGCACCGTGCATGCGGGAGTCCATTCGCGAGACCACACACGCGAGAACATAATTGAAGACCATACGCGAGACCACAGGCCACGGAGTCTGGATCCATATGACTTCGCACCCAGCTTTACAATATACGTACGTCTTTGTATACGTGTATTCATATATACATACATAACTATACGTATACAGATGGTTTAACCACACGTATTCACTCGCATATGTTTACGCGTTGATAGTCACATGTGAATATTTCGTTGTCTATTGCTAGGTGTGGGTAGGTATGTGTGGATACATGTGTGTATGTACGTAATGAATACTCATCATTGCGCATACAGCTGTGCACGGTCAGACATACCAGGTACATGTACATGCATATGCACATGCACATGTACATGTACATACTCTCTCTCTATATATATCCAACATGCAGATGCGTGGCTGCGCGATCTCGCCACCGCGCTCAGGCGGCCGCCAAGGGGGGAGGCCTCTTTTGGGGCCTCTTGGGGGCTTTTTGGGGGGCTGTCGGGTTCTCATGGGGACCTCTCGGGCCGTCTTAGGGCGCTCTTGGCCCGTCTGACGCCTTCGGAGGCCGTGGGGGTCTCTGTGGGTCGTCTTGGGGCCTTCCTAGGGCGCTTTAGCGCTGCACTTGACGTCTCTTGGACTGTCTTGGGGCCCTCCTGGGGCTGCTTTCGGGGCCTCTGGGGCCATCTTGGAACCCTCTTACTTGGGCCGTCTTGGGGCCATCCTGGAGGCCTCTTGGGGTGTCTGAGGGGTTCAGAAATCCGACGAGGCGCCGACGCTAAAATTTTTCAAAACCAACAGCAAGAGTATAATTCTGGCATCGTCGGTCCTTCCTGTGGATCCTCTTGAGGGCCTCTTGGGGCGTCTTGGGAGTCTCCTGGTTTTTTCTGCAGTATAGGGCTCGACTTATTGCTACAAGTAAGGTCAGGCACGCAATCCATCAAGCACGAGCTGAAGACGTATGCGCCCTACAGGACTTAGACATCAAAGGTCGCAAAAGAGTCCGGCTCGTGGAAGATGCCTCCCTCGCCTGTCCATTAGCACCATCAGTTCATATCACGTTGTCTACCTCGCTTCTTTGCGGATGATGGTGGTCACGAGGTTGATGATAATGATGATGCTGATGTTGATGATGATGATGATGATGATGATGGTGATGATGATGATGATGGTGATGATGATGACTATGATGGCGGCGACGACCACGACGACAATGCTGATGCTGACGATGATTGTGGTGACTACAATGGTGTGTGTGATGATGCTGATGATGATGCAGTGGGTGATGCTGACGATGCGGATGCTGATGCGGATGCGGATGTTGCTGCCGAGGGTGTTGTTGGTGATGACGGTGATGACGTTGATGATGATGATGATGATGATGATGATGATGATGATGATGATGCTGATGATGATGATGATGGTGCTATTGATGACGATGATGATGGTGGTGATGATGGGAATGGGTATGGTGATGATTTACAGCGATGGTGGTGATAAGGGTGGTGTGGGATGGGACGGTGATGGCGATGATGATGATGCTGATGATGATGTTAAAGATGATGCCAATGACGGTAATGATGATGATGATGATGATGATGATGATGATGATGATGATGATGATGATGATGATGATGATGATGATGATGATGATGATGATGATGATGATGATGATGATGATGATGATGATGTTGCTGAGGATGATGGTAATGTTGGCGATGGTGATGACATGGTGGGCCGGATGATGAGGAAGAAGGGGGAGATTTGGACGAAGAGCGCGGGGACGAAAACGACATGTACGATGAAGAGGACAAAGCGGACGGGGAGGAGGAGGAGGAGGAGGAGGACGACGAGGAGGAGGATATTGTAAGGATGATCATGATGTTTCTACTGATGGTGGTGATGATGCTGATGATGACGACGACGATTGTGATGATGGACATGATGGTGATGATGTTGATGATGGGGTGATGAGGAGGGGGAGGCGGACGAGGAGGAGAATGAGGAAGAGGAGGAGGAAGAGGAGGAGGAGGAGGTCGAGGTGGAGGTGGAAAGGGGGGCTCAACGTTTTGCATCGGCCTCAACCCCTCTCTGTTTTTCCTCGGCCCCTCCTCCCCCTCCTCCCCCCCTTCTTCCCCTTCTCCTCTCTCTCCCTTCCCATCTTCATTCGTCCTCCTTCTCCTTTCTCCCTTCTCCGCTTTTCTCTGCCTCCTCCTCCCCCCGTCCCCCTCCTCCCCGTCCTCCTCCCGCCCCTCCCCCTTCTCCTTTCCCCGTCCGCTGTCTCAGCCCTCGTTCCCTGCGTACCTCCCCTCGCCCCCCGACCTCTCCCGGGGAGCACCCCGCGGCGGATTCGCCCGTGGCGACGACGTCGCCCCCAGGAGGCCCCGAGAGATCCCCAGGCAGGCACCACGCGTGATCCTCCGTCCTCTCGAGGTCCCGGGCCCCCGACGTCGTGCCCCTTCGCAGCGTGGGCGCCCACGGATGCCTGGACCCATGCCCCAGGGCCGGCCTCTCCTGCCGCGCCGCTCTCTCCTCTCGGCATCGCTCGGACGGGTAAGTTTTTTTTTTTTTTTTTTTTTTTTCTCGGCGAAGACCGTCGAGGAACATTTTGGTCCACCGCGCGGAAAAATGCACGCGCGAAATCGTAAAACACACGGGGAATGGACGTCCGAGCGATGGCAAGTCATTCGGCACGAACGAAATGGGTACGGAAAGAATGGGTAGAATGCTCAACAGCAGTCCCTGATCATATTGAACAGGCCTCGCTGTCGGTGTCGCCGCGGCCCGTGTCCATCTGAGACAGAAGGCCGCCTGCCCAACAGTGGCCGCTGTTTGTCTGGGACAGCATTTGCTGTTGGGCATTGTACCCGTTCTTTCCGTGCCCATTTCGGGCGTCCGAACGCACGGTCCTGGGGCCCGGCGAGCGCCCACAATCTTCCGTCGTGTCTGCTCTCGCGACGGGAGGGGATTGGGGACGACGGCGATGGCGGCGGTGACGACGGCGACGATCCCGGAGGTGAGCAAGTACATGCGCTCGCTCATGGTGGAGGGCGACCTCGGGCGCCTCAACCTCAATCGAGACGGCATCGACCGAACGCTGACGGCCACCTCGGTGACCCGCGCGAGGATGAACAGGAGGATGAGGAGGCAGGAGCTTGAGGAGGAGGGAGCGTGAGGGGGAGGAGGAGGAGGAGGTGAATGGTGCTGATGATGCTGATGATGATGATGATGATCATGATGCTGCGGATGATGATGTGATGATGATGCTGATGATTATGCTGATTATGATGATGACGATGAGGGCCATGGCGATGATGATAATGGTGAGGTGGATTATGATGATGATGAGGTTGCTGGTGATGACGATGATCACGAGTATCCGGATGATGATGCTGCTGATGATGAGGTTGCTGGTGATGGCGATGGTCATGACTATGCTGCTGATGATGATGATTACGATGCTGCTGATGATGATGCTGCTGATCATGATGATGATAATGGTGATGCTTGAGATGATGATGCTGATCATGATGATGATGCTGATGCTGATCATGATGATGATGATGCTGATGTTGACGCTGATGTTTTTGCTAATGGCGACGACACTGAAGGCGATTATGATGTCGATGCTGCTGCTGCTGATGATGATTGTGATAATGCTGCTGCTGATTATGCGGATGATGTGGATGCTGATGATGATGCTGGGTGTGGTGGTGATGATGCTGCTGATGATGCGGATGCTGGTGATGATGCTGGGTGTGGTTGTTATGATGTTGCTGATGATGCGGATGCTGATGATGCTGCAGACGATTGCGATGAGGATGATGATGATGATGATGATGATGCGGATGATGATGATGCTGATGATGATGATGATTATGATGTGGATGATATCAAGGATGATGATGCTGACGATGATTATGGTGATGATGATGATGATGATGATGATGATGATGATTCTGATTGTGCTGATGATGACGATGCTGGTGCTGCTGATGATGACAACGTCGACGATGATGCTGATGATGAAGACGATGCTGATGCTGATGCTGATGGGGACGACAGCAATGGCGATGATGATGATGCTGAGATGGATGATGATGATGATGATGATGATGATGATGATGATGATGATGATGATGATGGTGGTGATGATGGTGACGATGACGATGAGGTTGTCGGTGATGACGATGATCAAGAGTATCCTGATGATTATGCTGCTGATGATGATGCTGGTGATGATGATGATGATGCTGATGATGATGATGATGATGATGATGATGATGATGATGGGATTGGTGATTGATGATGATCACGTGTATGCGGATGTATGAGGATGTTTCTATGGTGATGATGCTGCTGCTGATGACGATGCTGATGGTGGTGATGATAATGGTGATGCTGGAGAGCATGATATTGATGCTGATACCGATGCCGATGCTGATGATGATACTGATGATGATGTTCATGATTGTGATGATGATGATGCTGATGATGATGATGATGCTGATGCTGATGCTGATGATGATGATATTGATGATGACGCGGTTGCTGAGGCCGATGTTTAGGCTAATGGCGACGACACTGATGGCGATTATGATGCTGCTGCTGATGATGCTGATGGTGATCATGCTGCTGCTGATTGTGAGGATGATCTGGATGCTGATGCTGATGCTGGGTGTGGTGGTGATGATGCTGTTGATGATGATGCTGATGATGCTGGGTTAGGTTGTGTTGACGATGATGATGCGGATGCTGATGATGCTGCAGACGATGGCGATGCTGATGATGTTGACGATGCTGATGATGATGATATCGTTGATGATGCTGATGATGATGCTGATGATGATGATGATAATGATGATGTTGCTGATGCTGCTGATGCTGATGTTGATTGTGCTGATGCTGATGCTGCACATTTTGATGATGACGGCGCCGACGATGATGCTGATGATGATGACGATGCTGATGCTGATGATGATGTCGACGACGATACCGATAATGATGCTGATGATGATACTGATGATGACGATGATGATGATGATGATGATGAGGATGATAATGCTGATGATGATGCTAATGGTGCTGACGATGATGCTGCCGCTGATGATGGTTGACGGTGGTGGTGATCGCGGTGGTTGTGGTGGCGATGATGATGCTGATGGTGGTGATGATGTTTAGGTTGTTGATTATGCTTATTGAAATGAGGACGATGATTCTCATGCTGATGCTGATGCTGACGTTGATGCGGATGATGATACGGATGATGATGATGATGATGATGATGATGACGATGATGATGCTGCTGATGATGGTGACGGTGGTGGTGATCGCGGTGGTTGTGGTGGCGATGATGATGCTGATGATGCTGGTGATGTTTAGGTTGTTGATGATGCCTATTGAAATGAGGATGATGATTCTCATGCTAATGCTGATGATGATGTTGATGCTGATGATGATACGGATGATGATGATGATGATGATGATGATGATGATGATGATGATGACAATGACGATGACGATGATGATGCTGATGATGATGATGATGTTGATGATGATGGTGGTGGTGGTGGCTGTGGTGGTGATTGTGGTGATGATGCTGATTCTGATAATGATTATGATGATGACGATGATGATCCTGATGATGGTACTGATGATGATGATGCTGATGATGATGATGATGAGGATGATGATGATGATGATGCTGATGATGATGATGATGATGATGATGATGATGATGATGATGCTGATGCTGTTGATGTTGGTGGTGCAGAGGAGGAAGAGGAGGAGGAGACGGAGAAGGACGGGCGGATGAGGAGGAAGAGGAGCAGTACGCGGAAGGATGAGGTTGCCACGGAGGAGCGGGGGCGGAGGAGGAGGGTGAGGAGGAGTAGCAAGAGACAGGACGAGAATATTCAGGTATTGGGGATGAGGAAGAGGAGGAGGCATTCTGATAGGCAATTCTCCGCCCCCGCCCCCCCCCACCTACTCTCGCCTGCACATCCGCCTTCTCTCGCACCGTCCGGCCGCAGGAGGAGAGGACATGGATGAGGATGAGGATGCTAAGGAGGAGGAGAAGGAGGAGTAGGGAGAGGAGGGGCATGAGAAGGCGGGGGTGGGTTGGAGGTGGAGGAGGAGGAGGAGAAGGAGGAGAAGGAGGAAATCAAGGAAGCGGCGGCAGAGGGCACGCCAGGTGCGCTCGCCCCATATCTGACATCTCCCCATCCCCTGCGCCCATCCGGTCTCATGGCGCGGGTTGTTCTCTACCCGCCGACGGGAAAAGTTGCTTGCTCTCGCGATTCCGCGTGCCGTTCGTATGCAAAGGGTGAGTCGTTCGTATGCAAAAGGGGGCCCTGTGCAGTTATGCAGGAGGAAGAGAAAGTAGTGGCGGGTAAGCTAGATGACCAGCAGGAGGAGGAGGATGAGGAACAGGAGGATGAGTTAGGCGGAGGACCAGAAGGAACCGTAGCAGCAGGAGCAGATTTGGGCGGAACGGGGAGATTCTGATGATGCGGATGATGATGACGGCGATGCTGATGATGCTGCCAATGTTGATGTCGCTGATGCTGGTGATGTTGCTGATGCTGATGCTGATGCTGATGCTGATGCTGATGCTGATGCGGCTGATGATAGTGATGATGATGATGATGCTGATGCTGATGATGCTGCTGATGATGATGATGCTGATGCTGCTGATTATGGTGCTGATAGTGGTGCTTATGGTGATGCTGATGGTGATGACGATGCTGATGCTGATGCTGTTGTTGATGATGCTGATGCTGATGATGATGACGCGGATGCTTATGATGACTGGTGATGTTACTGCTGCTGCTGATGATGATGATGATCATGATGCTGCTGCTGCTGATGATGCTGATCGTGATGCTGCTGATGATGATATTTTTGATAGTGTTGATCAGGATGATGATGAGGATGATGATGCTGCTGATGATGATACTGATGATGATGATGATGATGATGATGATGATGATGATGCTGATGCTGATGATGATGATGATGATGATGATGATGATGCTGGTGATGGTACTGGTGATGGTGACGGTGATGGTGATGATAATGGAGGTGATGAAGATGCTGTTGGAGAAGAGGAGGGAGAGAAGGGGGAGGATGCGGAGGAGGAGGAGGAGGAGGATCAGGAGGAGCATGAGGAGCAGGAGGACCATGTAGCGGCGGATGGGAGGAGAGGGGTGTGGATACAACGATGCGGAACGACTCGGATTCAGCAAAGCGGCCCGCGCTGGGGCGAGAGCGCCGTTCTTAACGATGGGGGCACAGTGCCGATCCGAAACAGAGGCCCAGGCAGAAGGAGAGGGGGAACAGTGTGTGTTGTGTGTGTGTGTGAGTGTGTGTGTGTGTGTGTGTGTTTGTGTGTAAGTTGGCTGCCCGCGCGGCACACCTGACAGCCTATCCATCCAACCCATCCTTTCCCATTGCGCTGAATTTTTCCCTATCCGCCGGCGGGCGGCCTAGTGGACCTGTCTCCATTACATGGCTGCACCGAGTGATGCGCAAGCAGAAATGGGAGCCGTGTACACTTGACGAGGAGGAAGAGTAGGAGGCGACGTATGAGCAGGAGGAAATGATGAGGGAGGTGGAGGTGGAGGAGGAGGAGGAGGAGGAGGAGGAGGGGGAACAGGAGGAGGAGGAGACGCAGCAGCAGGGGCAGGAGTAGGAATAGGATAAGCAGACTTTGTAGGAGGACCATACTATGGCGGAGAAGGGAAAAGGAGGTGGCGACACTGAGAAAGAAGGACTGTGATCCAGAAGTGTCGCCCGCGCCGGGGCGAGAGCGTCCTTCGAATCGACTGGAGCAAGCTGCCAATCCCGCAGTGAGGCCAGCCCTGCAGCGGGAGCACCGTCTTGACGAACCGAACGCGTTCATATCGAACAGCCACCACCACGCATCAGTTTTCGACTTACGATGCGCGGCAACCGCAGTATGCGGGAGAGTCGACGCCCCGCTCGCACAGTTTGCAGGAGGAGATAAAGGTCGTATTCATGTCGAGTGACTGCGGGGGCGGGTCGGGGATGTGTCGATGAATTTAGGTTGAGTTTTGCAGGGTTCCTTGAGGTTCAGCGGGCTTCATGGGGATGAGGGGGATGCGATGATGCTCGGGATGATGGTGGTGATGATGATGAAACTGCTGATGCTGATGCTGATGAGGATGTTTCTGATGCTGATGATGCTGATGCTGTGGATGTTGCTAATGATGATGCTGACGACGATGACGACGCTGATGATTTTGATGATGATGATGACGTCGCCGATTATGACTGATGATGATGGTGATGATGGTGATGATGGTGATGCTGATGCTGCTGATGATGCTGATGCTGATAATGATCATGATGGTGATGACTGTGATGATGGTGATGCTGCTGCTGATGATGATCATGCTGGTGATGCTCATGTCGTTGCTGATGGCCATGCCGATTCTGCTGTTGCTGCTGTAGGATATGGCACTAAGGATCATGATGGCGGTGACGCAAACACACTGGAGCAGGTGATGCTGCTGCTACTGGCGATGCTGACACCGATGATGCTGATGATGATGCTGATAGTAATGATGATGATGATGATGATGACGATGATGCTGATGATGATGGTAATGATGGTAATGGTGGTGGTGCCTATGTTGATTTGATGAGGATGATGCTGTTGTTGATGATGCTTCTGCTGCTGATGATGATGATGATGACGGTATCTATCAGTATGATGGTGGCGATGCTGATGGTGGCGGTGACGATAGTGATGTCGATGCCGATGCCGATGACGACGATGATGATGCTGCTGCTGATGCTGATCAGGATGATGATGGTCATGCTCATGCTGTGGCTGATGATGATGATGCTGATGCAGCTGCAGATGAGGATTATGAGGTCGATGACGACGAAACCAATGCCGACGGCGACGATGATGCGGATGGTACTGATAATGATAATGCTGATGATACTGATGCTGATGATGCTGATGATCCTGCTGCTGATGATGACGACGATGCTTTTGCGGATGCTACTGCTGACGATGATGCTGCTGCTGCTGCTGATGATGATGATGGTGATTTTGATGATGATGATGACGCTGATGTTGCTACTGATGCTTCTGATGGTGCTGCTGCCGATGATGATGATGATGATGATGTCGATGCTGATGATGACGATGATGGTGATGATGCTGATGATGATGCTGATCATGATGATGCTGATGATGATGATGCTGATGATGAGGCTGATGATATTTATGATGATGATGATGTTGATGATGATGATGATGATGATGATGATGATGATGATGCTGATGATGATGATGATGATGATGATGATTATGCCAGCCATGGTGCTGATGATGGTAGTGGTGGTGGTGATGATGCTGATGCTGCTGCTGATGATGCTGATGCTGCTAATGGTGTTGCGGCTGTTGCTGCTGATGCTTCTGCTGATGATGATGACGATGACGATGTTGATGATGATGCTGCTGCTGATGAGGTTGCTGCTGCTGATGATGCTGCTGATGTTGTTGATGATGATCATGCTGATGCTGATGCTGATGCTGCTGATGATGATGATGATGTATGATGATGATGCTGATGATGATGATGGTGATTCTGATGCTGATAACGATGATGCTGATGCTGGCGATGATGGTGATACTGCTGATGATGATGCTGGTTATGATGATGATGATGATGATGATGATGATGATGATGATGATGCTGATGACGATGATGATGATAATGCTGATTATGATGATGCTGCTGCTGATGATGATGATGATGATGATGATGATGATGATGATGATGCTGACGATGCTGGTATTGATGATGATACCGATGCTGGCGATGACTATCGAATGGCCTTCGGTCCATCCCGCCACCGTGTCTGGGTTGTGGGTCAGCATTCTCAGGGATGCTTCTTAGGGTCTTCTGCCGATCGCTCTCGGGGGGCCTCTTGGGGCCTCTTCGGGGCCTCTTGGGGCTTCTTGAGGGCCTCTTGGGGGCCTCTCGGGGCCCCCTGTGGGCCCTTCCGGGCCGAGGGCTCGAAATGTCCGCTCGAGCCCCCATCTGGGCCCACTCTTTGGGGCCATCTTTGGGCCCTCGTGGGCCGTCTTGGCTCCCTCTTGGGCCGTCTTGGGGACCTCTTGGCTCCTCTTGGGGCCCTCTTAGGGGCCTCTGGGGCCGTCTTGGGGCGATCTCGGGGGCTTCATGGGCTGTCTTGGAGCGTCGGGACGCCGACAAGGCGAGACCGCCCAAGCCCTTAGCCTCTTGGAGGCCTCTGGAAGTGTCCTGAAGGCCTCTTGTATTGTCTTGGAGCCGTTTTGGGCGTCGTAGAGTGATTTTTTGGCGACCCAGAGCATTCTTGGACCATCTTGGGGGTCTCTTAAAACTCTTGGAGGCCTCTGGGGGCCTCTTGGGGGCTTCTTGGGGCCGAGGGCTCGAAATGTCCGCTCGAGCCCCCCATCTGGGCCCCCTCTTTGGGCCATATTTGGGCCCTCTTGGGCCATCTTGGCCGCCTCTTGGGCCGTCTTTGTGGTCCTCTGGGGCTGTCTTGGGGCCCTCTTAGGGGCCTCTGGGGCCGTCTTGTGGCGATCTGTGGGACTTCGTGGGCTGTCTTGGAGCGTCGGGAAGCCGAACATGCGAGAACGCCCAAGCCCTTCAAACACCGAAAGGACATCAATGATTTTTGCCTCTTAGGGCCCTCTTGGGAGGCCTCTTGACGGCCTCTGGGGATGCCTTGAAGGCCGCTTGTACCATCTTGGAACCATCTTGGGTGTCGTGGAGCCATCTTCTGGCGACTCGGAGCACTCATGGACCATTTGGGGGGTCTCCTGGGGCTCTCTTGTCCCGTCTTGGAGCCTTCTTGGGTCCCAAAAAGTTATGCAACAAGCCGCGGGGAATCGCGACAAGCCCCCGACCAGACGCGAGACGCCCCGGGAGATTTGAGAATTTGGAGTCTGGGTCCCTTAAATATGATTTTTGGAGTGAGGATTGGGGCTTGGAGGATGGGGGAACGGATCTGAGGGCAAGCCCACTCCGTGCCCAGAGGTACGGTGGCGGATGATGATGGTGATGATGATGGTGATGATGATGGTGTTGCTGATGATGCTGCTGCTGATGATGATGACGATACGGATAAGAATTATGCTGTTGATGCTGATTATGCTGCTGTTGATGATGATGATGGTTGAAGTGACGATGCTGATAATGACGCTGATGATGGTGATGATGTTGATGCTGCTGATGTTGCTTTTGAAGATGCTGATAGTGATGATGCTGCTGAGGATGACGACGCCGACGATGACGCTGACGATTCTGATGATGGTGATGATGATGCTGATGATGATGCAGATGGTGGTGATGATGGTGATGATGAGCAGGAGGAGAAGGAGGGAGGAAGGGTACATAGGAGAAACGGGTTGAAACTGACGCTGATGCTCGTGCTTATCCTGACGCTGATTCTGATGCTGGTGATGGTGATGGTGTTGATGATGGTGATGGTAATGATGATGATGATGATGATGATGATGATGATGCTGCTGGTGCTGAGGCTGCTGATGATGATGGTGATACTGACAATGATGATGATGATGCTGATGATGATGATGATGCTGATGCTGATGCTGATGATGATGATGATGATGATGATGATGATGATGATGCTGATCATGCTGATGCTGATTATGCCGATGATGATGCAGATGATGCTGATTCTGCTGATGATGCGGATGATGATGATGATGATGATGATGATGATGATGATGATGATGATGGTTGTGATGACGACGATGACTATGATGATACCTGTGAAGCTAATGATAATGCTGATGGTGCTGATGCTGATCATGCTGATGCTGATGATGCTGATGCTGATGATGCTGCTGATGGTGATGGTGCTGGTGTTGGTGTTGGTGATGCTTACGACGATGTCGACGATGATAATGATGACGATGGCGACAACGACGACGCCTATGGCGATGCTGATGATGATGATGATGATGATGATGATGATAATGATGATGATGCTGATGATGATGATGATGCTGATGATAATGATGATGATGATGGTGATGCTGGTGATGACGACGATGACGATGAATCATGTGATGATAGTGATGATGATGCTGATGCTGATGATGATGCTGACGATGGCGAGGACGACGACGACCATGGCGATGATGATGGTGATGTCGATTATGATGCTGCTGCTGCTGATGATGATGATGATGCTGATGATGATGATGATGATAATGATGATGATGATGATGATGATGATGATGATGATGATGGGAGTGATGATGACGATCATGATGATGATTGCGGCGACGACGACGACTATGACGATGACGATGGCGATGACGACGACGATGATAATAGTTCTGATGCTGCTGCCGATGTTGGTGATGCTGATGATGATGGTTCTGGAGGTGATGATGCTGCTGATGATGATGCTGATGGTGATCATGATGATGATCGTGACGCACATGATAGTGATGATGGTGATGCTGCTGACGATGATGAGGTTGATGACGTTGTTGATGATGAGGATGATGATGCTGATGATGATGCTTATGCTGATGTTGTTGATGATGATGATGATGATGATGATGATGATGATGATGATGATGATGATGATGATGGTGGTGGTGGTGGTGGCGGTGGTGGTGATGAGGCCGCTGCTAGTGATGCTGCTGGCGACTACGAAAAGGATGATGACAATTAGTATGAGGATGATGAGGAGAGGCCTCCGTATGGCACTCCCTCCGCTCCGCAGTGACGCCCGCCAATATGGCCAGACAGTTCCCAGGTGCATGTGGTCGCCCCAGCCATGCACCACATGAATGCAGTCGACGCGGTGGCGGAGGTCTTCGTGGTCCATAAGGACGAGGCTGGGCCCAGGGAACCCCTCCCTCTTCCCTTCTCGTGCTCCTCCTGCTGATCCTCCTCTGCCTCCTCCTCCTCCTACTCCTCCTCCTCCTCCTCCTCCTCCTCCTCCTCCTCCTCCTTGTCGTCATCATCATCATCATCATCATCATCATCATCATCATTGTCGTCGCCGTCGTCATCATCATCATAGTTACCATCATTATCATCATCACCGTCATCATCGTCGTCGTCGTCATCGTCATCGTCATCACCATCATCATTACCATCATCATGATCACCATCACCATCACCATCACCAGCATCAGTATCAGTATCAGCGTCAGCATCATCCAGTTCCTCCTCGTCTTTCTCCCTCCTCCCCCTCCTGCTCATCGCAAAAGTCCACGGGATGGATCTTAGGCCGGCGAGTTGGGCCAGCAGCCAGTGGATTGGGGCGGAAGCCAGCTTGGCCCAGAAAGAGTTAGTTTTAAGGTCTGGCGCGCCACGCTCCCCTCCAGCAGGCTACGGGGGCGGCGGTTCGAAGATGCCTGCGGCGAGTTGCCGCCGCCCCCATGCCTCCCTCTGCCTTTGTCGAAACGGCTATGGGTCCAATCGCTGGCCTGTGGGAATGGTCACCGTGGGCCAATTGTGTTGGAGCAGTATGAACGGGATTGGGCGCTTTCCATAAACCTTTTGGCTCAAGTCCATTCTCGCCTACTAGCCCAGTCTCCAGATCTCTGCAGACCAGCCCGCTACTGTGCTCTTTTCGTTCCCTTCTCCTCCTCTGTGATAGTTGACTGCAGTAAAGACAGACTGGATCTGAGATGCTGTGTTGTGCCCGATGACAGATCGATATCCATCGAGGTTATCTTTGGGGGGACAGTGGTAGCAGAGCGTCTGAGGACGCTCTGTTTCTGTTTCAGGGGCCGACATGACTTCACAGGGTTCATCTGACGAATCTCCGGGCAGCGGTCTCGCGGCTTGCCAGGGGTCAAGTGCAGCAGTATTGGGGACAACAAAACAATTTTTTGGACGAGCATGGGCAATTCCGCACGTCAGAGGAGCAATGGAGACAGCTCCTAGACGGTATGGCGGCCGCACGACCTACGATGCAGGCCCCACCAGACCACCGAGCGCCACATATGCCACTCGACCAGAGGCGTCACCAGCCCCGAGGACGGAGTCAACCAGCATCGTCAGCGAGGAGCAGATAAAGGCCATTATGGACGCGGTCAAAGAGAGGTTCAAAAAGCCAGGCCAAGCCAGTCCGCAGGTCACGGTGGAGCCAGGAGACGGGACAGTGGGGAGGACCAGTGGCAGGACGGCGGCGATCCGTGGTCATGGAGTTTGGGTGACACACAACGAGGCGCTGCAGCCAGCGCCGCGACGCTCGCCGCAAATGGCGGCGGGTGGAAGTCTGGGACCTGGAACTATTGGGGCGCAGATAGCCGTATCTAGAAACATGATCACTGGGAGTCCATCAGGCGTGATAATATATGGAGCTGGAAAACGAGGATTCGTGGTGGTCCAGTGGTCGAGGGGAGGGATTTCGATCCCGAGGCGTGGGCTGGCTGGACCGAGTTCAAATTCTGGGAACGCAAGATCATGAGATGGCACCGGCTCGCGGATACATTTCTCAGCACAAACACGCCGGTCTGTTTCTTAGATCTCTCTCCCCCTTGGCCTACAACGAAAGATGGAGGCGATTCCATACGAGGATCTCACCTGCAACAGGGGGGCGGACCTTATCATGGACAGAGTCGACCTTGTGTGTGGCGAGCGTGTAGGACGAGAAGAAACAGTCCGGACGAGAGTGCCTGTTCTCATTCCGCCTGCGCCAGAATGAGGGCTTGACAGATTGCGTAGCTCGCATTGGTCTGGCCTTCGACAAGGTCAATACTCCTGGGTCCTAGTATCAGACGACTTGATGTTCATGTTCTTGGAGCACGGCGTCGGACTAGACGATCGAGAGCAACAGCTGGTGACAGTTTTGATGGGAACTAAGGGCTAATGCACCGCGGCGCTCGCAGCGAGAAATGGACGCGCTTGTCTTTCCAGCGGAAGACCTTCTTGCGGATGGGGTCGACCCACACTGCCCCATCCATGAGCCCACGTACTCCGCCGAGTCGGCCGCAGAGGAAGATGCCGAGTTCGTTTTCGACGACGATGACGTCACATCCCAGGACACCGAGGGCGAGAGAGGTCTATCTCACCTTAGAAGGTCTTGTATTTACGGCGACGAGCTACCTCATGTGTTTGCTACGATGCAGGAGGAGCGTTTGGAGACCTTGAAGCAGAATCGGGACCTGAAGAGGAAGCTCAAGGTGGACAGGAAGTTGTTGGATTCGTCTACTGAACGCTGCCCGGGCGAGCAGCATCGCCAGCAACTGCGGCATCGGCAGCAAACGTGTCATAAGGATCACCGAGCCGCAAACGGACAGTGCAGGCCGAAAAAGCAGTGTCTGCCTCCAGCCGCGCTGATCCGGCATGCTGGAAGTGTCGCAAAAAGGGCCACTGGTCTCGTGAATGCCCGCAGCGGAATGGCAAGGGCGGCGGCGCCAGTGCGACCGCGCCAGGGATCACGAAATTGGACGCGGCCAACGTTATCCAGAGGCGGACCCAGGCACGGCAGAATCGCAGGCTCGTGCTGAGAGCCCACCACATCTACGACCAGATCTCCTTCTTCCTCGAAAGGCGTATGGTAGAATCCCACGCGGGCAAGTTCTTGGACGAGAGACCGGGCAATCTCGCCAATGGCGGCGCGAAAGGCATGTGCTGTGGGCTACCGGACGTGACCCAGTGGGCCCGAGACCCTTCGAGCTGATCTTGCGCGGCAAGAACAGGCAACCCCATAACCTACCATTGCATATCTTTGTATATTTTGGAGTATGTTTCAGCTGGCGGAGCGCGGCGTGCTCGAGACTGTCTGTGCCAGCGGGCACAGGTGACGACTTATGGCTCAAGTTTTATGCCACCACCATCGTCACCTACTCCTTCTCCTTCTGTTTCGTCATCTAGCGGTTCGGAGGGTGCTGCTGGCGTGCCCTGGCGTCGTGTTCTGCGACCCGATGCTCGTCGCGCGGTTTGCACATTTTGTGGTATTGTGGTGAGGGCGCTCTGATCGTCTGACCTGTTGTGTCAGACTTGTCGTATGTGGCCCTGCGTTGTTTCGATGCTGGGCGAGCTCATCGAGCTGTTCTTGGTTTCTTCGAGGTCAGGCAGGCCCTTGTCATTGTCATTTGACGTCTTCGCTAACATCGCGAGCGACACCCCGCAGGCGCAGATGGCAGAGTGGCCGTCCCGACAGGAGAGTCGATCTTGGACATCGCCGCTAGACAGGGCCTGATCGGCCAGCCCGGTCTGGGGCGCCACTGTGAGCGCCCGCAGAGACAGGGCTTCTGATTTCCTCTGGCGGCCTCGTGCGACCTAGCAGCCAGGGGCGTGGGAGGGGGCCCCAAAGTTTTAAGCGCGGCCTTGGTTCCGATCGTCTGGGACAGGAAAGAAACCGTGGATGCTGGTTCTCGAGCCCCCTTGCGACGCCTTTTCGATCGCTCGCAGTGCCGCCGTCCACCGAGCAACCTCAGCTGAACGGCGCCGGAAGAAGTCCGAAGCTCTCGTCTTGTGCGGAGTCGCGATGGAGATGGCTCTAGAGCAACGCAAGGGGGGAATCAATTCGCGCTCGAGCACCCCCTTGGGGCCACTTCGCGCAGAATCGAGGTGGTCCGTTTCGTTCGGGGCCTCCAGAGGGTCGTCGCTATTAGCGTGGATCTTTGCAAGTTCAGACTGCCAGTGGCTACGGACGGAAGTTTTCTAATGGAGCCCAGTCGGCTTGTGTCGAACGGTGGCGCTTTTTTGGAGTTATTTGCAGGATGTAGGTGCGCTGCTGGCCGCTTGCGCGCTCAGCTGACTGGTGGCGCCGCGACCGCCGAGGTTCGGGTATATCCACCCAAGTTCACCCGGGCGCTGGCCGAGGCAATTCAGGTCAGCATCGATCGTGCCACGTCCGAGTCCAGCCAGGAGGACGGTGACCTCACCAAACGGCGCGTGCATTTCGATCTGCGAACCGCCGATCATTATCCGGTGGAGAGGGGCGAACCGGAACAAGTCGCCGACCCAGAGTCCAATCATGAGGCCGAAGAGGGGGCCCCAGATCGGACTTTTCGAGATCGCGCCCAGGATCCGGGGATTTGTTCACAAGGCTCGTGTCAATCAGGGCCACCCCCCATATACGGCTGTTTCTGCAAATCTTCCATGGGGCTCAAGCTAAGCCTGAGGTTCTTCATTTTGTCCAGAAGGAGCACTGGCGCCACGACTGCGACGCGCGTGCGAGACCGGCTAGCAGCTGGCTGGCGCCGCGGCCTCCCTCCCCACCCACAACCAGTCAAGTTCCCCCCCGCGCACCAGTCAGCGCGCACCCTCCGCCACGACCGCTGGCGCCGCGCCCTTGCCTCCCCCCGCAGCCAGCCCAGCTCCTCCCCGCCCGCCAGCCGGCGCGCCCCTCCCCCCCCCCGTCCCGATTTTTTATTTCGGCATTGTCGGCCCTGCGGATCAGCCCCCTGGGTTCCTTCGGTTCTGCCGTTACCCCTGGCTGTCTCGGCCGCCAGTCCCGAACCGTCGTCCTGCCCGCCCTGCAGGTCGATGTTCGCCGTCTTCGCCTCTGTGACTGCTTCTGCTCTCTCCCCTCATTTCCCCTCCTCGTCTACTTACTCCGTTCCCTGCTCCAGGCGCTCCCCTCTTCTTCTCGTCCTCCTCCCTCCTCGTCCTCCCTTCCCCATTCTCTCTCCTCGTCCTCCGTCTCCCGTGTCCTTCTTTTTCTCCGTCGCCATGTGCTTCCCTTCGTTTGAGTCCTTCTTTATCCTCTGCCTCTTCCTCCTCCTACTCCACCTCCTCTTCTGGTCCTCCTCCTCCCCCTCCTCTATGTGCAGGAGCCATGACACGCGCACCACTTGTAGCATCCGGAAGGACCAGAGGACAGTCCACTCAGCGCCCACGGCACGGTGGCGAAGTGTTGCCGGGACGACCAGGAAAGCACACGGGTTCCAGAGTGAGGGGTCGTCCTGAAGCTTTTTGTGGGGCCCTCTGGGCCCTCTGGGCGCCCTCTCGGGCGTTCCCGGGGGCTTCCCATGAGATCCGACGTCGCAAAACAAATGGAACATCGCAGAGTGCACGGAACCCAAGACCCCATCTTGCTGCGGCACCTTTCGGGCCGGGCCTGTCCGCGAGCCTTGGGTACCCCGCAAGAGGGCGAAGCCGCCAGGTCTGACGACACTGCACAGCTGTTTTGGCTCGATCCGTGCTCGGCCCGCGAGGAGTGCGCGCGGCAGTCAGTATCGTTTCAGTAATCCCCCATGTCAGAGGGAAAACAGGTGCTGATACTGCTGCCCTTCCCTCGTTTTCCCGTTTGGGGCCTCCCGGGAGGCCCTCGGGGGGCCCTCAGCGCCACGGCTGGATTCGGTCCAAATTCTGGTCAGAAGGCATCCTGGGAGAGATCCGGGGAGCAGCAGTATCCCTACCAGGCCATGGCATCTGAGCCCCACCATCCCACCACCCCACTTGGGGGCAGGCCCCTCGAAACCCGAAGGGGGCAGCCTAGATCCCCACCCAGGGGGAGTAACTCGGCCAGTCGGGCCCAGGCCATGCCAGTGCGGAGGGGTATCGGTCCAACGCTGCTCAGCAGCCGTTTTGGCTCGAACCGTGCTCGGCCCGCGAGGCGTGCGCGCGGCATTTGGAGGCTTGGGAGTGGGCACCAGCACCAACACAGCTCCTCCTCCTCCTCCTCCTCCTCCTCCTCCTCCTCCTCCTCCTCCTCCCGGGAAAGATTATCCTCGATGCTGTTGCTGCGGGTTTTGTTTCGGCCACCCAGGAAGCCCGAACCCTGCCGCGACCGCCGAGGTCGGGATCATCCTGCCTCGGTGGGGGCACACCGCCCGTGTTGGCGCTGGTGCCAACCTCCCCAGACATGCGACGTCCTGCTCGTCTCAGTGCGCGGCCCCCCGACGTCTCGACCCCTCTCCCCGGGGCCGGTTCTTCGCCCGGGGTTCTCCTGTGGCGGCTTCCCGGGGGCCCGGCGAGGGCCCCCGGGTGAAGGCCGAACGCGGCAGCAAACACCTTCCGCCCGCTTTTTGTTTGTTTTTTTGTTTTTGTTTTTTTCCTTCCAGGGAGGAAGAACCACCCGGACCGGACAATCGGCGCTCACTGAACGGCCTTGGGCGTTTCCTACACGGCCCTGCCTGGTTCGATTCCTGCAGTGGGGGGCGCTTGGTCAGCGGCTCCGCGCGTCGGGGTGGTTCTTCTATGGGGGGGGGGGATTTTTTTTGCCCTCTACTCTTGCCTCCACGACGCGCGCATGTCTGGGCCCGTGCCTCCTGGACGCATGGTGCCCCGCCCCCGCGGCGCCCGCGCCCTCGCGGCATGCGCGGCCGCCCTCGGCCTCGGCGCGGCCGCGCTCGGCCTCGGCGCGGTCGCCTTCGCGCCCCCGCGCGGCCTCGGCGCGGCGCGCTGCGGGGGCCCCGCGCGCGCGGCCGCGGCGGAGCCGCGGAGGCCGGCGGAGCCCGCCGCGGGGCCGTCGGCCGCTGAGGCCCCGCCGCTGCTGCAGGGCCCAGGCGCGGGGGGCACCGAGCTCGGCCACGCCGCAGACTTAAAGGAGGGGGGGGGGAAGGGCTTAGAGGGGGGGGGGGGAGGGGCTGCTCAGAGGGCGGCCCGGGCTGACCTCTGTCCAGGTCTCGTTGGCGGCCCTGGCGCCCGACGGCGGCACCTCGGAGGCCGAAGGTAGCAGGTTGCCCCGTCGTCGTGCCTTCGAGAGAGGGTCGGCCATGCGCACGGGGGCGCAGGGGGGAGGGGGGAAGGCCTTCTAGAAGCACGCCTGCTTCTAAGAAGCCTTCCCCCCTCCCCCTACCCCCACCTGCGCGCCGCCAAGGGTGCACACCTGCACCAGTCCTGGCTACTGTGCTGTGGAAGAGAGAGATCCGAGGAGGACAAGCTTCCGAAACCGCTGACGTTGGCACGATCTGCTCGAGGCTCTTAGGTTTCTTGAGGCTTTCGGCCTCTGGGGGCCCTCGCCGGGCCCTAGGCCCGCCACAAAGCGGCTCGGGATGAAAAACTGGTCCCACGGAATGGGTCGAGACCTTTGGAAGGCCACGTTGTGGGAAAATCATGACGTCGGGGGTCAGGGGCCGCTATCGCTACCGCTACGTCGGAGGGCACTGAGTGCACACCTGCACCGATCCTTGCTACGGTCGGTTTGTGTCGTGTCGACGCGGTTGCGATTTCGCCGCGGGCGTTCAAGGTTGAACGGCGCTGGTGGTTCAGAATCGACCAGCATGCGATCGGAGAGCCGCCGATCGTTGAAGATGAACGGTCCCTTGTTACCCCGTTTCGGGCCTCCTGGGAGGTCCTCGTCGCCACGGCTGGATTCGTCCCAAAATTCTTGTAAAAGTGGACCCCCTGGTATGTCTGGGGAGTAGCGGTGTCGGTGCGTCGTGGCTTCCCCAGGGAAGGCCACTCGCGAGAGGCCTGCGCGGAGGCCTTGTGCGGGGGACATGGGGACACTGTGCGCCTTGTGCGGGGCTCTTGCGAATGCCCTGGGGATTGGCTCCGCGCCTAGCGTGCTCATCCAGCAGGAGGAGGCGCAGACGAAGCACGATATGTATGGACCCCTCGTGCGCCTCGTGCGCTGGCGCCCTTCGCTCCGGCACTCTTTCTTTTCTTAGATCGGCAGTCCGATCCTGGGCCCAGGGTCGGCGTGTCCAGCTGCCCGCGGCAAGCCCCGCCACCGTGCGCACCGATCCTTGGCTTCAGTCGGGCCTGTCTCTCCACAGGGGGGATATTCAACAATAGTCAAACAATAGTCTGGGGATGATCCTAGGCGTATTTTTTGACCACTTTTTCAATATGTATATGTATGTATGTATATATATATATATAGATATATGCATGTCTATATATCTATACATATATATATATATATATATGTTTTTTCGTCCGAAGTCTCCCTGAAGGGGGACAGGCCCGACCTAATCCTTGGCCCAGGCTGAGCCTGGCCAGGATCGGCGGGCCCTCAGAGGTGGGCAGGGCACCGAAGCCGCCACCGTTCCCTCGTTCTGCCCTCCGTGGGCCTCCTGGGAGCTTCGGGCCGAACGAAAGGGGGGGATTGGGAAAGGGGGGGTTACGAAATCTGCTGCATGCAGCTGGTTTCGGCCCCACCGAGGGGCCCAGTCCTCGATACATGGCCGCCTCCGGCGCCGGGAGGCGCCGGGAAAATCAGCTACGTGAGCTGATTCTCAAACCCCCCCTTTGCTATCCCCCCCTTTCGCCCGACCCGACATTCCCTCGTTTTGCCCTCCCTGGGCCTCCTGGGAGCTTCGAACTTCGAACCTCGAGCCTTGAGGTTCTTTGGGCCTCTGGATGGCTTCTCGTCGCCACGGCAATCTTCGCCTCGAGATCCTGCCCAGAACGCGGCCCGTGAGAGGTCCTGGGAGGCTATCGGTACCGTTTTTTTGGTTTAAGAAACAGCTAATATAAATCACGGACGTTTTCGCTCGTCTTGGATTGAACGTGTATCGGGGACGAGCGCACAGAAGCGCTCAATAGTTCTAAACGACGCCCAGAAGCGCCCAGTAGCGCCGAACAGCGTTCAAATCTTGCCCAACAGCAACCAATAGCATCATGCCCAGTTTGCGCGCGATTGGGCGCCCTACTGGGTGACATAGGTACGACCAAAAGCTTCCGTGAGTTGATTTTCAACGCTTGCTTCGAGATAGTGACACAATGCCGAGAACCTGCGGGTGGAGGATCGAATTTCGAACTTCGAGGCTTTTGAGGCCTTTGGGGGCTTCTCGTCGCCACGGCTGGATTCGCTTCCAAATCCTGCCCAGACCGCACCCTGGGAGAGGCCTGGGGGTCGATTTTCGACCTCTGGACCCAGACCCCCTCCCGTTGTTCGGGACTCCAGGGGCGGGGGTCAATGTAAACGGGGTCAGCCAGAGTGCCAGATCTTGCAGGATCCTGCAGGGCCAGGGGTGCATTGACCAGGGTTAGCGCGCCTGCATGATCATGCAAAGTCCTGGGTTGACCCGGGTCAGCAGATCCCCGAGTCGTGGAGACATCGCGACGGGCACTGTCTGTTTTTGCTGCTGCTGTTGCTGGCCTCTCGGGGCCCGCCGCTGTTGTGTTCCGGACCCCAGGCCCCAGGCCCCGCGTGCCTGAGATCTGACGCTGCGGAACAATTGTAACAGCGCGAAAAATCACGACCGGAGCCCTGGACCCCACCTTCCTGCGGCATCTTTCGGGCCGGATCGATCTGCGATTGCCCAGGGGCTCGAAACTGGGCAAAATCGCCTGATGTGAAACAACCTTGCCAGGATCTTAGGTTTTTATGTAGGTTTGTTTATCTTTGTGCCACACATGTCTAAATCTGTATATCGTCTTATATATATATATATATATGTCTATATATATGTATATTTGTATATATGTATAGACTGAAACTCAATTCGACGCCGATGCAATGAGCACGCCGCAAGGTAACCAAAACTACACGGCCTCAGGCCCGCCGAGGGTCCGCCGCCAGCTCCTGGCAGTTTGCGTTGCGCGGCGAAAGAGGGAGCACGAGAACGAGAAGCAAGCAGACGACGGCGAACGCGCAGGCTGGAGGCCAGGGCCGGCGAGACGAAGCAGGTGGGAAGGGACAGAGGGGACACAGCAAGCTGGCAGCATGGGAGGAGAAGGCGTGGAAGAGCCGAAAACAATAAACAGCATAAACAGAAACTTTCGGAGGTCCGGTTAGATCTCTTGGATCGGCGCTGGGCCCCCCTCCCCGGCGTGCGGAACGCGCCAGGGACGGCGTGTTGGAGGCGCCGCCAGGGAGGCGCAGAGCAGATCCAAGAAACCCGCGCGAACCTCCGACAGTTTATGTTCACGCAGTTTCTTGTCCTCTAGAAGAGGCGGAGGAGGAGGGATAATAGGAGGAGGAGGAGGAGGAGGAGGAGGAGGAGGAGGAGGAGGAGGAGGAGGAGGAGAAG